GCCCAGACGTTATGGGCAGGTGTCACTGAGAAGTGTCAGGACCTGGGGCCACGCGCCCAACGCACACTTGGAGGATAGGAGCGGGCGTTGTGCTCGGAGTTATCCGAGGACGTGAAGGTTCTCCATTCAGCAAATAAGAGTCTTCTGGGAGAGATTCCCAGCCTTTAGGGAGAGACTCAAGGGTACTCAGGAGGGCCTCCAGCTTGGAAGTGCCGCTGGAAGACCAGCAAGGTTTGCACAAGGCGAAATGGCTGACAGGAGTCACAGAGGCATCGGTCAGAGTGGACCAAAGCTGCTGGCATTTTGTGTGTCCGTCAGGGAATGGAGAGAATCATAAGTCAAATCTAGGGCACTCCAGTGCCAGTGAAGACCAGTGCCCAAGCACAACTGAAGAGAGGGATGAGGTTCAGATGTAATTGGATTATTTCCTTAAAAACACAAAAATAGTAAATGGAGCACATGAAAGTATTAAACAGCTAATGCAGTTTTCCTTTGGGAAACAGCATGCTTAATATTAGCTATGGCCTGGGTGAAGCTGTAAAGGATTTAAGTTGGCATTGCCTTCTAAAGACACAATCTGAAATTATCTCATTAAATTCTATTTACCTGGGATGTCAGCCTCTGAAGTGAATTCACCGTCTGGTTCTCAAGGAGGCCTGGGAAGCCCATTTGGGGACTCTGGCTGTCAGTTCAGGTAGGAACGCGCTGGACAGGCAGATTCACAGCCGTGTGGGCAGAGCATCCATTTCTTACTCTTTACTGTTGAGCCCCTGTCCTGAATGCAGTGAATGTGCTTTGCACATTTTGCCCACCAGCTTAACTAGCATCTACAGTAGTGCCTGATGTGTGTGCCTCCCAAACTATTTGTAAAGGATGGACCCAAGAATGCAGTGAGGGATTCCACTGTGAGGCAACTTTATACCAAAAAGGACTCACTGTTTCTGACCTGGATATTGTCTTTATTGGATCAAAATTGAACTGAGCATGGGAGAGATGTCAAGGGCCCCCATTCCCTGGAGACTGGCAAGGAACAAAAATAAATCACCTCTCATTTAGCATGTCACAAAGGAGCCAGCATCTCTGAAATCATGGCAACTCTAGAAGGCTGGGGCCTGTGGACCAATGAAAGGGCTTCTTCAAGATATCCAAAGGGCTCTCTCTTCTTGACCCATCTCACACACCGCTGTCCTGTGTTGTGTGACTTTGTTCCTCTAATCCTGTAACTGGGTGCACTCAGACTTGAGTAAAGGTGGTGCTAGGATTGAACTCGGGGCCTTGTGCATGCAAAACGTGCTCTAACACTGAGCTACACTCCCAGCCCCATTGTGGATTCTATGGTCTGCTCCTTTTACATTATGCCAGATGCAAGTCACTATTAAGATTTTTATTTTTTAAGTTTGTGGGGAAAATGATGATCCTTAGAATTTCTCCATTAGGCTCTTTCCTTCGACAACATTTTGATTAGTCCATGAAGTCATTCATGCACCCTCATCCATCTCCCAAGTCTACAATTCATTTCTATTTTGTTATGTACTGGGGAACTTAACAATTATCTACAAAGTATAAAGGAATCTATGTAGATGTAAAGATATGAACATTTTAAAAATGTGTTCATACCTTGCTTCATGTGAGTACAACTAAATCATCTGTCCTCCACAACTCCGCCCCTTTTCAAACGGTGTTTACAACCGCTGACCACACATGCTAGAGGGTAAAACAGCTATGTGCACAGGACTCACCTTAAAAGAAATGCTCATTTAAAACCAGCAAGCGCTGACAGACATGGTGGCACTCGGCTGTAATCCCAATGACCCAAAGCTGAGGCAGGAGGATTACAGATTCAAGGCCAGCTTTGTAAATTTAGCAAGAGCCCCTCTCAAAACAAAAAAGGGATAGGGATGTGGCTCAGTAATAGAGCACCCTGGAGTTTGATCCCCAGTACAAACAAAAAATAGCCAGGGGTTTTGTTTCCTTCATCTCCGCCATCACCTACTTTCTGCAACAGCACCAACAAAAGCAAATAGTTAGCATTTTTCTGTGTGGTGTGTTTATCAAAAATAACACAAACCACAGGGTTAGGATAATAACTGTATCCTGGGTTCAGAGTGAGGCTGGCTAGTCATGTTGTTTGAACTTCATTCCCCCTAGTGGTATTTAAATACATTGTTTCTTTTATAACTAAAAAAGTGTAAAGGTAATCATAATGATCCTGGGTAGAAAAAGAAGACTTGCGCCAGTAAAAAGGTAGATAAGTTGCATTATAACTTTAACACAAATCACCTCCTTTTAATGAAGGATCCACTGAGAGTTTGACTAAGGTACACTGTCCTAAAATGCACTGTGTGTTATCTCTTGTAAAATATTAGACTTGTGATGCAAATTTCTATTCTTCATCTTCACAGGTTTATTTGCTTCAAGTATTCTCTGATATTTTACTGAAGATGTTTCAAGTGTTCACTTTTATTTCTATGTTTTCCTCTGGTAACATGATACAGAATGTACCATGAGCAACCCTGCCACCTTCACTGCATTCAAAGGCCTTCCAACCATTTTTCTTTGCATGACACCTACAGAGATCTTTCTTTTGGGCAAGGACTTCTCCATGGTCATTATATTTCTACCAACTTTGAGCTCACTAATCTGTGACCATTGATAATAAGGTTTATCTTCCCATAAATGATTTATTCAGCAAGCATTCATACTATTTTTTTCCCAGCATACTGTCAGCTATATAATGAGCTATATTTCTCAAGGGTTTTCTATCTTCAATGAATCATGATTTACTCCTGTGTGATTTTTGTGACATAAAACGTGATGTAATTGATCACTGAAAGCACTATCACATTCATTGCATTCATAAGATTTCTCTTCTGTGCAAGGTCTAGTCTCTGCTGAGGGTGAATGTCTGACATCTGGCTGTCCCACAATAGCTATGCTCCTATCTGCTTGGAACTCACTGTTGCCCAATGAAGTCTGAGTTGCCACAGAAGGAATCTGCATAGTCTCCATGCTAACAAGACTCTCCTTCTGCATGGGATCATTTGTATGTGATGAGCTGCAACTCTTTGAGAAATTATTTTCTAGCTTGACTGATTCAACCTGTTTCTCTCTTGCATGCAGAATTCCCTTATGATAAACAAGGCATGACAGGTGGGAGAACGCCTTCCCACAGTCAGAGCACCCATAGGGTCTCTCTCCCGTATGAGTCCTCCGATGTCTATTGAGGCATGACTTATTTCTGAAAGCTTTCCCACAGTCACCACACCTGTAAGGCTTCTCTCCTGTGTGGATTCTCTGATGATTAATGAGACCAGACTTGTGTGAGCAGGATTTCCCACACTCGGTACATACAAAGGGAGTCTTTCCTGTGTGGAATCTCTGATGTGAGATCAAGCATGTTTTCTGGCTGAAGCCTTTCCCACAGTCATTGCAGACATAGGGTTTCTCTCCAGTGTGAATACGCTGATGTATAAGGAGATTGCCCTTCTGGATGAAGCCTCTTCCACATTCGTTGCAAGTGTAAGGCTTCTCTCCAGTATGAGTTCGCTGGTGGACAGTGAGATTGCCTTTCTGAATGAAGCCTTTTCCACATTCACTGCATATATAGGATTTCTCTCCTGTATGGGTTTTCAGATGTGCATTGAGTTGTGATTTCCAGCGGAAAGCCTTGTCACACTCAGTACATTCGTAGGGCTTCTCTCCTGTGTGAGTTCTCTGATGTTCAATGAGTCTGAACTTTCTGGAGAACGCCTTCTCACACAGGCTACATGCATGAGGTTTTTCTCCTGTATGAACTCGCTGATGATTAATGAGACGAGACTTCTTGACGAATCCTTTTCCACAGTCACTACATACATAGGGTTTCTCTCCTGTGTGTATTTTGTGATGTGCAATAAACTGTAATTTCCAGCGGAATGCTTTGTCACACTCGGTGCATTCATACCGCCTCTCTCCTCTGTGAGTTTTCTGATGTTCAGTGAGCCGGGACTTTCTGGAGAAGGCTTTCCCACACA